AACATTTACCCCAATCAGGATTCTCTTCTTATTGTTTTCTATCTTGACTTGAATTGTCTGTGTTGACTATATATATATATATATATATATATATTATTGGTGCGCCATTGGCAATGAAATTATTGTGTTGTTTAACAGAGTCAGTGGGAGGACCTACCAACCATTCCATTATACCCCAAAATCAAGTTTTGCCGACATGAAGGAAGCCCCACATAGGAAGTTCAACGAATCATATATGCTTTGTGGGATGAAGGAGACTTAAGGTTTTCATTGCAGTTTCATGCATATGGTTGTTGGATCACCTCATAAGCAAAAGCTTTGTCTCATCCCGTTTCTAGGAACTACCCTGAGGTAGTCTGACTTTATATTTGTTGGCCTTTTTGTAATTCATAATTTAAAATACAATGAATTATATATACATTAATATATTTTCCTTTTATAGTTAAAACAACAAGAATATTTTTGAATTAAGTTACACACATTAGGGGATAAATTCTTTGTAAAAGATTTTAAAAACACACTCCTGAATTGCTTTACTTCATTAAAACAAATTAGAATTTTACGGGTTCTAAACAAATAATTTACATTTGAGTTTAACTTACAAAATAACATTTGTTTTGCCTTGAATCCAATAGGTCCATAGATTGATAAGTAGTACTAGAATACTAGAATGAAAAGATTGTAACTTGCACTACTTCACTGTGTTATGGGCCATTTTGGGCATAGGTATTGTTGCAGTTAAAGCTCCGAGGGTCACTGGGCTCAGGATCTGCAGATTGAGACAGACTGGCCACTTTTGGGCCTTCCATCATCTTCAAGCCCGGATCTCATCAGATCGTTGGGTCCACGATTTTTACCTTTATGGGTTACACCTGGCCTTTTAGGCCATTTGGCGCACTCCCAGCCCAATGACGAGGTTTCTGCGTATTGCTTGTTAGCGTGGGCGTGGCGGTGTCGGTATTCAGTAAATTGTTCTCCTCGGCACTGTTCTACTCGTTATTACTCTTCCATGGCTGGCGATCAGCGCCAGAGAATATGGTCCGAAGAAGAGGAAATGAAGGTCGGTGACGGTGAAGTCTCTCTTTAAATCTCGGTGGTAGAGAATTCGAGTCTTGCGCAATACATACCACCTGCTCGATAAAATTACTCAAAGAAGATGGGTTTCTCGTTGAGATCAAAATGGTGTGGATTTTTAACAGAAATTATGAATGCCCAGAAACGGCAAAGCATTCTGGTCTCTCTCTATGGCACATTGCCGGATTACCCAACGCCGACTGTGTTGGAGGGACTGTGTCAAGTTGTGTCGAGCACCGTCGGTGGTCTAGATGACTTGGAATCGAGTCTCAAACGATTCAGAGTTTCTTTGTCATCACCGCTTGTTACTCAAGTGGTGGACTCTTGCAAACATGGAGCATCCACTAGGAGATTGCTAAGATTTTTCTTGTGGTCGCATAAGAATTTGAATTCCAGTTTGGAGGACACGGATTTTAACCACGCGATCAGGGTGATGGCTGAAAAGAAGGATTACACAGCAATGGAGATATTGGTTTCGGATCTTAAGAAGGATGGCCGGGTAATGGAGAGCCAGACGTTTAGTCTCGTAGCTGAGGCACTTGTTAAGTTAGGGAGAGAAGATGAGGCATTGGGTATTTTCAAGAACTTGGATAAGTTTAAATGCCAGCAAGATGGTTTTATTGTGACTGCTATTGTTAATGCTCTTTGTGCCAAAGGACATGCCAAGAAAGCAGAAGGTGTTGTGTATCACCATAAAGATAAAATTTCTGGCATGGAATCTTGTATATACAGGAGTCTCCTTCATGGATGGTCTGTGCAGGGGAAAGTTAAGGAAGCTCGGAAAGTGATCAAAGAAATGAAATCAGCAGGTATTATGCCAGACTTGTTTTGCTACAATATATTTCTTAGGTGTCTTTGTGAGAAAAACCTTAAACGTAATCCTTCTGGTCTTGTTCCTGATGCTTTGAATGTGATGATGGAAATGAGGTCTTATAGGATTGCCCCAACTTCCATCAGTTACAATATATTGCTTTCCAATTTGGGGAGGACACGGAGGGTAAAGGAATCATGCCGGGTTCTGGAGTTGATGAAAAATTCTGGTTGTAGTCCAGACTGGGTTAGCTATTACCTTGTTGTAAGAGTATTGTACTTGACTGGGAGATTTGGGAAAGGGAATAAGATAGTGAATCAGATGATTGAAGAGGGGCTGACACCAGATCATAAGTTCTATTATGATTTGATTGGCATACTTTGTGGAGCAGAGAGAGTTAATTTTGCACTGGAGTTGTTCCAGCTGATGAAGAGAAGCTCATTGGGTGGTTATGGGCCAGCTTATGATGTTCTCATACCAAAACTTTGTAGGGGAGGGAATTTTATAAAGGGTAGAGAGCTCTGGGATGAGGCTGTGGCTATGGGTGTTACCCTTCACTGCTCTGGTGATTTGTTGGACCCCTCAATTACTGGGGTTTTCAAGCCAAAAAGGAAAGTGGAGGAAGACAATATGGTAAGCTGTACTTCATCCAAGAGTTCATTAAATGTTAAGAAGTGTGCAGAAAAGGTAAAGAAAGAACCGAAAAAAACTTTGAAAAAGAAGAAATCTACCTCCAAATAATTGGTATTTCATGTCTTTCACATTGCAGCTCACTAGCCTGGCAGCATCATTTTGACCCTTCCTCTTATTTTAGCTGTATTCATCAAATATGTAGCTGGTGGATTGTCTCCATCTTTAATGATCCTGCTCATCTATCTCTCCCTTTGTTAGTGCTCCTAGGCTATTTATTGTTTT